CTGGCGCGGGATCGGGCAGTGTTTCGTTCTGCTGTGCATGGGGTCGCTATGAGTCGGAAACGACTCGACGGCACTTAACAACAACAACAACAACAACTCTCAGACATGCACAGGTTTGCAAATTTCAGCCCAATAACTTAGCACTAAAATTCGGTACATCATTTAGATTATTATTTTGTAATATGACGATTATACATAATGCAAAATATTATTCAAGAATTGGTATTTATGAAGCTGAACCATCACTTCAATTATATTATGAACAGTTTATTACCAGAGATAATTTCCCAGTGTTTAGAACAGTGCTAGATAGTACAGTCCACATATTACCTTTATTCTTTGTATCTTTAAGTGTTTGAGATGTGTCATCAGTTTCTGAAACCTGAGGGATACAGACTTTCTTGGGGATATGGAAGTGTTCAGCAAGACTCAATTCCGTCACATATAAAATGGATTTAGGCTTCTTCAACATTGACGAATTAAAGAACATAAAAGACTGGAAAAAGAAAAAAAATTAGAATGCAATTCTCTTAACATTTACTTTCAAAACACAAATGATAACCTTATGCATTTAAATATCATATCTATATCTATATCTATCTATCTATCTCTATATTATAATTGCCCAAATTAATGAAGGGATTGAACTAATTCACTTCTTTAGCCACATTATTATTTAATTGGAGAAAGGCATAGGAGTCATTCTTTACTGAATGATGCAAAAAGTCCCCTGCTTCATTGCACTGTATGCTGAAGAATTTTTTGACACTGGAAGAAACAATTCCACTAGTGAGAAAGTACTATCCTCATCTTGAGACTGGTCCTCCTTAACATCTACCCTTTGATTATTTCTAATTCTTAACAGCAGTATGGAATGAGTCCCTTCTCTTTTGCTAATGACAATTCTGTGAATACATAAAATCAACTAAGTGCCACCTGTTCACAAATCTCCCAAAATCCTTTTTATCCATGATGGTCTCTTCAACCATCACTCATATAATGTAAGTTACAACTCAATCCCATGCAAGCACTCAACTAAAAACAATCTAGTTTGATATTGCCCTTTTTAAAAAATTGAGACACTGCAAATAAAGTCAGTCATCCAAGTGTGAATCAAGCAGGTTAAAAATGATGCTCATTTATTCAGGCAAGTGTTCAACTCAATTAAGCAAGGACAGAGAACCTATTATACACAAGGAATTGAGGGTAGCCAAAAACACATGATTAAAGTTCTTTAGAGTTCTAGAAATTCACAATCTAGTGGGGGAAACAGGTCTATATAAAATGGAACATAATAAAACACAAAATTTTATCACTGATAAACAAACACTGAAAGTGTGCTAGGAATCCAGGGAGAAAGCCAAAGGCAAAGGCAGAAAGAAGATGGGGCAATCTACTTCCGTAGTGATACTGCCTCGGAAACCCAAGGACGGGTCGCTATGAGTCGGGTCCGACTCGATGGTACATAACAACAGCAACGACAACAACACATATGTGCATACATCATGGAGAGTCAGTTCATGAAGAAAATCCACCTCCCTAAACCATTTTTCTTTTAAATGCAATCTCTTGCTAAATGGTAAGAATGAAGAAAATGATTTTCAAAAGTCAAAAGAAAGAACTATGATAGGCTTGGAGATGGAAATGGCCACTCATTGAAAATGAGTATTTTAAGAGTGTGCTGAGAGTTGCACACAAAACAAAAACCAACAACAACAACAACAACAAATCCACTGCTATTGACTGGATTCTGATTCATAAGGACCCTATGAGTTTTCCAAGGCTGTGAATCTTTATGGAAGCAGACTGCCTCGTCTTTCATAGGTGGTGGCTTTGAATCGCTAACCTTTTGGTTAGCCACCAAATACCTTAGCCACAGCACAATCAAGCCTTCCCAAATTCACTGTTCCTGGGAGGGATGAATGTTTTCGGTCCGAGCTGAAGAGAGCCCTCAGATTCTTGAGAAGCACAGTGTGGATGGTCAGTCAAGAGAGCTTTAGAGTCCTGGGTCTTGATGTTTTTAAGAAAATCGGACTATAAAAATCTAGGTCATCCTTTAAAAAACCATCATTAATTCTTCAAAAGCTGTATGGTGATCTGTTTTCTGAGGAGCCTTGGGTCACAGTAAGTAAAGCACTCAGCTGCTAAAAGTCAGTGGTTTGACCTCACTAGCTTCTTCACAGGAGAAAGATGTGGCAGTATGCTTCCATAAAGATTTATAGCCTTGGAAACCCTATGGGGGCAGTTCTACTCTGTCCTAAAAGGTCACTTTGAGTCAGAATTGACTCAACAGCAATGGCTTTGGTTTCGGTTTTGGGTGATACGGGAGTTAGGTAAACAAATATCGTTCCTCATATTCCCTTAGTGGAGATAGAAAATAAATAAACAAGTAACTATGCTACTTTTTCAATGATAAGTGCTAGCTACTGAGAAAACTGAAGACAGCCAAGGTTTTGGAAGATGTCCGGTGGAGGTTGTTGTTGCTGTATGCTGTAGGGTTGATTCTGCACTGCTATTTGACAGAGTAAAACTTTCCCACGGGGCTTCTTAGGCTGTAGTTTTTTTGGAAGCAGGTAGCAGCTGGTAGGTTCAAACAGGTGCATTTTGATTATCAGAGGATGATAAAACCAAAACAAACTCACTGCTCTCAAGTCGGATTTGACTCATAGTGACCCCTCCTTGGGTTTCCGAGGCAGTACCACTAGGGAAGTAGCTTGTGCAACCTTCCTTCCGAGGAGTGGCTGGTGGGTTTGAACCGTCAGCCTTCTGGTTAGTAGTCAAATGCCTTAGGCACTACGCCACCAGATCTCCCTCAGGGGATGATATATACATATATTTAAAGTGGAATCTCATTGATAGCATTTCAGCAGGGAGGTGAACTGATTGAGGGACGCAGCCCTGTAAAAGCACAAAGACCATCGAGAGTATGCCGGGAGTGTTTGAAGAATAGCCAGGAGGCTACGTGAGCAGCTTATATTATAGAAGAACAATTCTACCTACTCTGTGGAGAAAGATTTTACCGTATTTCCAATAGGAGATTATATAGAGTTCAGCACTACCATATTTTATGCAAATAATGTACATGTTATACAATTTGTGCAAACTGCACAACCTTCTTGCACTTTAGTTAACTATGTGCTCTATGTGAGTGCATGTTATTTACTGTGGGCATGTAATATGCAAAATTACAGTAATACTAGAGTCTATAGTAATAATGAGGAGCTCTGGTAGCATAGTGCCTAAGGCACTTGACTGCTAACCAAAAGGCTGGTGGTTCAAACCCACCATCCGCTCCTTGGAAGGAAGATGGGGCAATTTACTTCCGTAGTGATATTGCCTCGAAAACCCAAGGAGGGGTCGCTATGAGTCAGGTCCGACTCAACGGCACATAACAACAACAACATAGTAATAATGATAATGGCAACAATATTATAGAGTGTTCTTATACATATCAGAGAGTATGCTAATAATTTGACATAAGTCCCACTTAGATTTTATAAAATGGCAGATATCTTCATATTACAAATGCAAAAACTGAGGCTTGATGAACTTTCAGTAACCGCTCACAGATGCACAACCAGACAGTGTTAGCATCTGGGTTCTCAACCTGATAATCTAAACCCAGAGAAGATCATTTCAGGATCATAAGGGCATCTTTTTTTTTTTTTAAACTGTAATTTGGGTGAAAGTTTACAGAGCAAATTCAATTTCCATGCAGCAGTTCACATACACTTTGTCTCATGACATTGACTACAATTTCCCACAATGCAACAGCTCCCCTCCCACTTCCTCCCGATAGTTATCTTTTCCCTGTGTCCTTCCTTCCAATCCACTCCTGCCCCTAAACTGTCTCCCTGTGCATACACAGCCCTCTACTCTCCCATGACTGATCTCTCCTAGGAGTGTATCTATCTAACGTAACTGTTCAGCTCATATGCCGGTCTTTAGCTTGTATGGAAGCCACAGGAGTGGGTTCAATTCCAGACCTGAAGGGCAGCTAGGGGCCATAGTCTCAGTGGTTACATCAGTATCTATCAGACCAGCAAACCTGGTCACTTGGACTAATTGTTTCCATGCATCTTTGGTTTTATTCATTCTTCTTTTCTCTGGACAAGGAGAGACCCATTGTTGCATCTAGATGGCCGTTTGCAAGCTTTTAAGATCCCATTGCTACTTGCTGAAGTAGGATGGGGAACAATGTTTTTGCGTAGTATGTTATGCCATTTGAGCTTGATGGCCCCTGCGACTATGGTCCTGAGCCCTCAGGTCTAACTACTTCCTCCCGATGGGTAGCTCGCTGTGGCCAAGAATGACTACAACCTTGTCCCATAAAGGCATCTTTTTAAAACACCCCCCTACCCACACCAACACCATCAAGAGATCCTTACTTAATTGTTCTGGAGTGGGGTCTGGGCATTGGTATTATTTTAAAATTTCCAGGTGATTCTAATGTGTAGCTAGAGCTGAAAACTGAATTTAACAACTACAGTAAATTCTCTGCAGTACATAAGATTACACAGAAGAATGTTTTGTTTTATTTAATGAGGTTAAAAAAAACTATTGCTATGTCTTCTGGAGAGAAAAAAAAATCTAGCACTTAGTACAAACCTATCATTCTTCTATGTAAAAATGTTGTTATTAAGTTCTAAAAGAGCTCTGTATACTTTTAAAGAGAGAGTAATTTAAGTGCATCATCTGTCCTGCTTTCATACCTCGACCATGGTCAGCCCTAGAACGGCGATGGCCACACGGATACTGCTGCTCTCCAGTGTGCCTGTGATCAACCTTCGCTCATACTCAAGATCTGACATCTGCTGCTGTGCTGCAAAAGCCAAAGCCTTTTCTCTGGCTTCATTAGTCAGTGGCAATTTTAGCTCCATGTCCAGCGTTTGATTGAGCTCGCAGTTCACATACAGAATGGGATCTTCCCAAATGAGCTCTAGAGAGAACAAAAGTATTGGTGAATGTGATGAACAGTTATGCACTTGATATTGTTACTCCTGATGGGTTTGGGAAGTCTGAAATAGAAAAATGCAGTTATGACCTTTATTAAACAGAATAAACAAAAATGAATGACATGTTAGTAGTAATTCTAATTCAGTAGTTCAAAACAGAATCTCTAGAAATTAGAGGAAATGCATTTAGCTGACATTCTCTCTATATAAAAATTTATAGTTAAATAATTCTTTCGTAGGCATGTCATGAACATGCTCAAAAATTCCAATTACCATGGCACTCCATTCAGAGATTAGAAGTCAAGGGGAGTAGTCCTCTAGACAAAGACAGGCCATTTTCTTTCACTAACAATCTTCTGCTTTAAAGCTTAATTCTTTAAGGGTCAGTGGTTAAAGAACAAGAGAGCAGAGTAGAATTCCAGATCCTATGAAGACATATAGATTTTGAGAATATAGTGTGTTCCAAATTATTTGGAAAATGGAAAATTCTGCTGAGAAAATATTTTACATGCCAAATTTCAATATTTATCTCAAGATTTTTTTTTTTTAGTTTTAAAAGCAATCACCATTGTTATTTTTTCATTAATCAATAAAGTAGTACTCATATAGTAGATAGATAGATAGACAGATAGATAGATAGATATGGTGATATAATAAGTTAAAAGGGAGCCTTCTAAAATCTAATTGAATACTGGAGAAGCTAACTATAAGGATGGTTAGGACACTATATGACCCTTCAACCTCACAAGTGAAATGAAACAAATTCTTACTCTACCTTCTTCTGGAGTAGTACCGTAGTTGAGTGGATGTGAATAACTCAGTGGAATAAATTTTGAGGGCAAGGGTCTCAAACCTTTTCCTTTCACAATATATATTAATTCTCCAATCTAAAATGCAACCACACAATAGTATTAAATTTTAAAACCTCAGGAAAAAAAATCATGATTATCATTTTTAATAAAACTCTTTCAATACTAGAAGTAGAAATAAATAGTTGCCAGGGATGACTCAGCATAACACAAGGACACCCATACAGTTTACATTTATAAGCAAGATACGCTATGAATGGGTGGAGAGAGATAACTACAGCCCTATCATAGTGTGGGGGAAACTTTGGATTCTACTAAAACACAAGGTTCATTCAGAATGTCTCAGGGAGATACTAATAGTAATTGATCTTTACTACAAATATCTTTGGGATATTTAGCTCAAAACAAAACAAAACAAAAAAACCAAGTAAATAAGGAAAAACAAAACAAAACATCCCCCCCACCAATTATTCTGTAGCTTATCGTTGTAGGGTTGATATCACTTTGGGCATTATCTTTGTTGCCTCCAAGAGTTTAGATTATAAAATGTGGAGTTTCAAAATGGATTTGTGGGGATCTTATTTTTTATTTTTTTTGAAAGAATGAATAAGGAGACAAGAATTTAGAGAGACAAACTGAGAATGTGAAGAAATAAAGCTGAGGTCAATGCAATCGCAGCAACATGATATAGGGAAAGATTGATGTGTTTCAGAGTAGAATTGTACTCCATAGCGTTTTCAATGGCTGTGACCTTTCAGCACTTGATCATCAGGCATTTTTTAAAAGTAGTTATTTATGGTTAAAATCATATCATGTTTGGGATTTATTTCAAAAGAGTCATGAAACCTTCTTTGGCAAGGGGAGCACTGGTGTGGAACTAGATCAATTGCATAAATTGTCCAGGGATGTTACTCCTGTTCCTTACCCCTGTTCCTTGCAGACCTGGACTTTGGTTTCAATTGGTTTTGACCAAGGACTGCAGACAGAAAAAGGACAATAAAGGCCTAGAAGAGAAATCTACTTGCCAGATGGAGGTGTCTAGGTTGGTTCAATTAAAAGGTCCAAAGATTGCTGGGAGAGGGCTGGTTAAGCCACAGTAAATAGCTGCTGCTGAAGGCCAGTCAGCCACTCCTAACCCCAGATCCTCCTGCAGCATTGGAGGCTCCTACATGATGTGGTGGCCATGGGAACCCAGGATTTCACAGAGCAGGCATTGACATGCTGAGGCACCACCGTGACGACAGAACCCCAGGCCTGTGTCACTACACTGCTGTGTACTGTGCAGTGTCTGTGTGCTTTGTGCAGGGTCTATCAACCCCTCCTCCCAGAAGGTACAATTCTTCAGGATCTGAGCCTTAGTTCTACTTGAGGTTCCTCCATTCAATCTACGCCCAAGTACACAAAGTAGAAATTTCTTTGAATTTCAGACATTTAGTAGTATGAGTTTTTAGGTCTTGTGTAGGTTTTCTCCCTAAGAATTCTATGAAGTTTGATGAAAACTACATCCACTTTCAAGGAGCCCTAGTTGTGCAGTGATTAAAGCACTTGTCTGCTAACTAAAAGGTCAGCAGTTCACCCATCACGTGCTTCGTGGGAGAAAAATGTGGCAATCTGCTTCCGTAAACATTACAGCCTTGGAAACCCGATGAGGCAGTTCTACTCTGTCTATAGGATAGCTATGAGTCAGAATTAACTCTACTGCAGTGGTAGGCACTCTGACTTTCAAACAGCTTATACATAAATCGTTTCATTTTTATTTGAAACTTCTAAAGAACGGCCAAAATGAAACGACTAGCCTTTTCTTGACCACAATGTTAGTAGAAATATTTCTGTTTTATATGTGGAAAGGTATTAAATAGAAATCTGCTTGCTATACAGTTTTCAACAGGTGGTTCTTAATGGCAAAGCAATTATCCCACATTTAATAGGAACAGGAACCAACTAGGTGGACTTGGATGTTTGATTATCTATGTAAGCATGTAATTGTATTTTTCAATATAATTGGCAATATAATTGAATATGTAAATTAATAGATGTCCTTCTCCACATAAGTAATTATACTTCAATGCAATCCTTTAGATTAAGGGCATTATTTCTCACTTGACAGCAATATAATTTCATGAATGTTGCTTTATTCTAACATACTCTCTGACAAGGACAAAGTATATGCAATCAAAAGTCATGTTTTAATAAATTGAGATGCCAACTTAAGTGTGATTATATTTTGATTAATTGATATAAATTTATGAAAGCAAGTGTTAATATTCAAATAGTTTAATTAAAAGAATAAAATCAACTTACTATGATACTGAGAATTAATCTTAGCATTTTTTAGGGTTATATTATAAATTATTATATGTAAGCAATTGTGACACATTTGATGAAACTACTGGTCATACCATTGTTCCTATTTTTCATGAATTTTGATGTAGTTCAGTTAAAATAAATTATTTAAAAAGAAAATAAAAAATTATATTTAATATTACTATAAAACAGTATTTTGCTTCCTTAGTGGTCATTGTAAGTATAAAATTCAATTCCATTTTACATATCTAATAAGCTATATTGTTTTTCATGTGTAAGTGATCCTACAGAAACTAAAAAAAACACCCTTGTTATTTCATTAAAGTGGATACTCATGCTGAAAGCACGGATCACAATTCTGTTCTCACCTTTTGATTGCTCAGGATGATAACACAATAGCGGATGTGGATGTTAAATGGAAGATAGTAGAGCTGCAAGCTTGAAGACTCTTCTGCTTCCAGATGAAGAGTACGTGTGGAACAGAAAAACTCTTTGATAAAAGTGGACGTAATTGCTGCCAAACCATAAAATAGAACATGTTTACATATCATTTCATAAGTGCTGTTCAAATAAAATAGCTGTTTCAAATAGTACTTAAAGTTAGGGATCAATTTTAAAAAGTTCTAAAGCTTTAATACTCGAGATTAGAAAATGATGCATACATTTGTTAGCGAAAGTACGGATGATCCCAGCTCAGGCTTGATATAATAATAATAAAAACCCACAATTACTACCCTGTATTAAATATTTCTTAATGCACAATTTCATTATAAGGGAACTTCACATCTGTTTAAAATTAGCCTTGACATATGTAGGAAAGGAGTCACTTATGAATCTCCAACTTTGTATGGATTTTGTAATGAATGGTTCACATTATAGAGTGTAACTGACAACTTGAATCGGAAATACTGTTTTATATACTCAACACACACACTCATACTTTTCAATGGCTTTAAAAGATGTCCACAGATTATTTGTTACTGACTGAATACAGGCCAGCCTTAAAGATTTGATCCAAACAAATAAAATGTTAGAATGCAGCAGCAGTGCTATGGTGTGACTTCTGCTTGGTTCGCTCTCCTGGCTCACTCCCTTTAGAACTGAATTTCCATCCTGTGAAGAAGCCCAGGCCATATGGAGAGACCATGCTTAAGTCCCAGCTGAGGTTACAGCCAATAGGCAGCATTAACCATTAGACGTGTGAAGCCTTTGAGACGACTGAAGGAAGTACCATCACCATCTGACTAGAAGTGCATGAGAGGTCCTGAGCAAGAATCACCTAGCTGATGCCAGTCACTCCAGAAGTGTGACAGATAATATTCACAAATTATTTTGGCTATTTCATACCATTACATCAAGAAGCACCAGAAACTTGGTGGTTCAAACCCACCAGATATTCCGTGGAAGGAAGACTGAGGAATTTACTTCCATAAAGATTTACTGCCTCGGAAACACAAAGGGGCTCACTTTGAGTCTGAATCGACTTGATGGTAGTGAGTTCTGGTGTTTTAATACCACTATATCTGGAGTAGTTTGTTCCAGAACACCACCATATCCGCGTGCCTATCCATCATTCTATTCATCATGTCTAGACTTACAGTTATTTCATGAAAGAAGGCAAATCTTTGCTCTTTTTACCATTCTAAACCTGGTGATATTTGTCATCTAAAGAGACTCAAACAGTTCAGAAGAAGCTAACAGAGACTCAAAGGTCACATAACCGGGCATATTCATTGCACAGGGGACAACAGTAAAGCTTAGCAGTGAAAAGTAAGTTGTGGGTAAAGTCTTCCAAAGGGGCATAACCAGAATTGTCTTGAGCCTAGCACTTTGGCCTCCCATCCACTCAGCAATCTCCACAGGAGTGTGCCATTCTATCTCATAACACACCCTCTGTTGACTATTTCATTTCAGAGTATGCTCTGCACATAAAAACTACACATGAAAACAAAGAAGAGTTTCTCTCTGAGTTACTCACAGGTCTTTAAGGCATTTCCAGAATAAGAAAAGCTCCGAGCCGATTTATATATGCTGTTATTCGCAGCAACACTGTCACAAGTAAATAGAAAAACAACATCAAGAACGCAAACAAAACTAAAAAACAATTCTCTATCTTAATGGAACATCATAGAACCTTAAAAATTATGGCTAACTACAATATGATATGCACTATCACTGATGTATTTCAAATATCATTTGACATTTTTATTGTTTTAGAAATTAAAAAAAATAAGAAAAATACAAAATAAATAAATGAACTCATCCAAATTTCTACCACTTTGGAAAAGTGATGCACCTTAAAAAAAAAAAAAAAAACACTGAAGAGAAGTACAAGCTTGAAGGTGATAATAATAAGAATGCAAATTCAAAGACTCAAAAATAGGTGGTTTCACTTTAGGACAAAATAGGTACTCTCTCTAACATTTATTCTCTTGAAAAATTCTCTCCTCTCAGGTCATTGGTTACATATGTGGTTCTTTCCCAAAAGGCTAGAAGGAGAGTTGGGTAGTAATATATTCTCTGGTTGTGTGTTTTGAAAATTAATTAACATGCCACAGTCTGAAGCAACTGCCTCCCTTGAAAGGTTTCATATCTTCCAGAGCCCATCAAGTTTTGCCAAATTTCTCTATTCTTAGTATCCTGATAACTTTGCTTACCAAGCTGCCAATTAATATTTGACTTTCTAGATAGCATTTGCCAAATGCATATTCTGGAAATACAAAAACCTCAGATTTGCACAAGTGGTCATGTGGTGTTGTATGAATTAGATACTGTGAAAGTAAAGTCCTTATTTAACCATATCCTTTCATTTCCTACATTTGATTTTTATGAATAACACTGTCTTGTCTTTATACTCCATTCTTAATGAAGTTATGCATCCCATGCTGTAATTAGTGTTTGACTTTCACTCACAGGAATTCTAGTTGGCAGTTTAAATACCTGCTATTTTGTTAGGTGCTGTCAAGTCAGTTCCACCTCACAGCGACTCCGTGTACAAGACAACAAAATTGCCCAGTCCTGGGCCATCCTCACAATTGTTGCTATGTTGGGGCCCATTGTTGCAGCCTCTGTGGTAATCCATCTCATTGAGGATATTCCCCTTTTGCTCTGACCCTCTACTTTACCAAGCATGTTGTCCTTTTTCAGAGACTGGTCCCTCCTGATAACATGTCCAAAGTACGTGAGATAAAGTCTCACCATCCTTGCTTCTAAGGCACATTCTGGCTGTACTTCCAAGAGAGGTTGTTCATTCTCTGGTAGTCCTTGGTATATTCAATATGCTTGCCATCATTGTAATTCAAAGGTGTCAATTCTTCAGTCTTCCTTATTCATTCTCCAGCTTTTGCATGCATATGAGGCAACTGAAAATACCATGGCTTGGGTCAGGTGCATCTCAGTACTCAAGGTGATATCTTGGTTTTTAAACACTATAATGACACGTTTTGCAGCAGATTTACCCATTGCAATACTCATTTGATTTATAGATTGCTGCTTCCATGGGCATTGATTTTGGATCTAAGTGAGATGAAGTCCCTGACCACACCAATCTTTTCTCTGTTTTTATCATATTGCTTATTGGTTCAGTTGTGAACATTTTTGTTTTCTTTATGTGGAGCCTGTAATAATACTGAGGCTGTAGTGTTTTATCTTCATCAATAAGTGCTTCAAGTTCTTTTTGCTTTCAGCAAGTAAGGTTATGTCATCTGCATATTGCAGGTTGTTAATGAGTCTTTCTCCAATCCTGATGCCACATTTTTCTTCATATAGTACAGCTTGAATTATTGGCTCAACAAACAGATTGAATAAGTATAGTGAAAGGAAACAATTCTAATGCATACCTTCCCTGATTTAAACCATGCAGTACCCCCTTTGTTCTGTTCAAACATCTGTCTCTTGATCTATGTACAGGTTCTGCATGAGCACAATTAAAGTTTTCTGTAATTTCTATTCTTTGCAATATTACCCATAATTTGCTATTATCTACTAATCAAATGCATTTGCATAGTCAATAAAACAATGGTAAACATTTTTCTGTTATTCTCTAATTTCAGCCAAGATTCATCCATCTTCAGCAGTGCTATCCCTCATTCCAAGTCCTCTCCTCTTCTGAATCCAGCTTGAACTTCTAGTACTTCCCTATTGATGCACTGCTACATCCATCTTTGAAGTTCTTTAACAAAAATTTACTTGTGTGTGATATTAATGTTATTGTTCAATAATTTCTCCATTATGTTGGATCACCTTTCTTTAGAATGGGCACAAATATGCATCTCTTCTTGAAGGATGGCCAGGTAGCTGTCTTCCAAATTTCTTGGCATAGATGAGTGAGCACTTCCAGAGTTGCATCCATTTGTTAAAACATCTCAATTGGTATTCTATCAGCTTCTGGAGTTTTGTTTTTTACCAATGTCTTCAGTGCACCTTGGACTTCTTCCTTCCATAACATCACTTTTTGATCATATGTTACTTTCTTAAATGGTTGAACATCGACTAATTATTTTTGGTACAATAACTCTGTGTATTCCTTCTTTCTTCTTTTGATGATTCCTGCATCATTCAATATTTTTCCCATGTTGTTGCTGTTAGGTGCCATTGAGTCAGCTCCCACTCACAGCTATCCTATATACAACAGAATGAAACACTGCCTGGTCCTGTGCCAGGCTCGTGATCCTTGCTATACCTAAGGCCATCATTGCTGACACTGTCTCAATCCATCTTGTTGAGGGTCTTTGCCTTTTTCACTGATGCTCCACTTCATCAAGCATGACATCCTTCTCCAGAGAATGGTCCCTTCTGACAACATGAACAAAATAGGTGAGATGAAGTCTGGCCCTTCTTGCTTCCAAGGAGCATTCCAGCTGCATTTCTCCAAGATAGATTTGTTAGTTCTTCTGGCAGTCCATGGTGCTTTCAGCATTGTTCACAAACACCACAACTCAAAAGCATCAACTCT